CACTCTTTCTTCTAGCAGCTTGATTAGTCAATAACTAATTAAATGACAGCTTTGCAATTTACTTCATTTCTGAACATTTTTGGGAGAAACATCCACTAATGCTTTTCTCCCCTAACCATCTCAAGCCACATCTACCCTGATAAACTCCACAGTCACTCTCTCAACTGTAAAAATTGACACCTCAAAAACCAAGTGGTAGAGAAAGAGGGGTTGAATTTTATGACAGGCCAAATAACATAAAGCGTAAGATGCCAATTCTGCACATTTTTGTATTGAATTTGTTAAAAAATATACAACTTAATTTTTTTTTTAAGTACTTGCAGCTGCCACCACTCCCAGCTTGTGAAAAACAAAAATGTAAAAAATGGAGAGGTTGGGGTAGCTGTGAACTTTGGTTGTGGCCCATCTTTGTAAGCAAGTTTGGATCAGAAGTTTTATTTCATGTAGAATATCTAGTTGGAATATATGCTGCTGCTTCAAGTTTTTCTGATCTTCACAACATAGGGGGCTGGAGCTTTTCTTCCAAGAAAATCTCTAAAAAAAAAAAAAAAAAAAAAAAATTTCAGTTAACTTTTTTTCTAAAATACAGATGTTCCTCACCTCCAGTGACCTGAAAGTTGAGGCAGGTAGCATCACTATTCTGTTGGTCAGGCAGAATTAGCACAGAAACTTGATAGCTGTCTAAAGCTATTGCAGTAGGGTTTTCATTGTGTCTGGATCTGTTAAAAAAGATACCAATGCTGAATTCAAATAAGGTAATTACTTTGATAGTAAAACTTAATTCAGTTGCTTTCATGTAAAATTTTAAATGAGTTAACCTTCAGTAATATTCTTTTGCTTTGTCTTAGAGTAACCTAAATAGCAGAAGAAATGTAAGAGCTTAAATGAAGAATCTATAATAGATGACGTCTGGCTCTCCTTTGTCTTTCTCCATAGACCATAAATAGCTTTGAACAGCTGAACTAACTCTACCGGCTAAACTTGTCGTCTAAGCATGTTGGTATAATCAGTTTAGTCCCATTTTTACTCATCTAATACCTTGTCTTACCTTCACTTGCTGTCTCCTTAATAAAGGATATTTACCCTGCTGACTTCCTGTATGTCAGGAAAAATGTTCAATGCATATGTAAAACAGCAGTCTGTTCAACCCTGCAAACTTCCCAATATGCAGTGGTCGGGGGCCATGTTATTTCTAGTTTGAAAAGTGGTACATATAGCTGCACAGTGCATTTTCATGGGTATGGCTCTTGGTTAAGTGATGTGCTACCTACTGAACTGCAAGCCCTGTTTTCTGTAGCTGTCTATGCTTTCTTGTATGGTTTCTCATCCTACAGTTCAATGACCTGACCCCCCCCCCCCCCCCCCCCCCCCTCAGCCTGAGACATGAAGCAACAACAGACTCTCCCTGTGCCTGAAGAAGGGTGTCTGTATCAGAAAGCTTGCAAAGAACATTTTTTCCAACTGTTCCTGTTTGTCGAATAAGAGATCACATTTACCCAAGGAACCTTGTCTGCCTGGGACGATGCAGGCACCCCTTTATCTCTGTTAATCAGTGTTGTGGCGTGTTCAGGTCCCCACTGTGCTCTGAGTTGTTGGGTACTTACAGAAACAACTTGGGTAGAGCAAGATGAGAGGTGCCCAAGAACCAATTGATAAGTCCAAACAAACACTTTGATGTGCGCTCACAAAAGTTAGGCCCAGTCTACAGTAGGGTCCGACCAGCGAACTGTGCACACGCAGAGCTCTTCTGGAGCAGCAGAACCCTCCTTTCACCTGGAAGGGTTGTGCTGGCTTGGCAGAAGTGGAATCCAGCTGCTGCTCCTGCTGGCTGGCGAGGCAGCTGGTTTCATCCCAGAGCGCACACCCAGAAGCACTTGAGCACGCATGCGGTCCAGTGGCTTAGTGATGGTGGCTGCTTTCAGCCACCACAGCTTTTGCTGGTAGAGAACAGGCAAGTATAGATGCCTGTTCTCCTTCCCAGCTGGCATTTCCAAGTGGCTTCTGTGTGTAGTGCTCAACAGAGTCTGTTGCACTAATCCAGCTGGCAGGGGTGAAGAGTAGCCATTTGGGAAGTGAGGCTGCAGTCTCCTTGTTAAGCCCAGTTAAGGAGCTGGGAAGGCATTGGCTACAGCAGAGGATCTCACAGGATCCCAGACCGCATCCCAGAGCAAGGTAGAATAACCACGTACCAAACCATCCTGTCCCCATGTTCCCCGGGGATATTACCTGCCCCGGGCCAGTCGATACAGAGCTCTGGACTCCCCTGGTCTGAAAAGGCAGAACAATGAGCAAAATAAAAGCAGAACAAAGATGGAGCCACCCTTGCAGCTCCATGCTGTGGGTTTGCTCAGCTCAGGCTTTAGTAGTGATCGAGGTTGGAGATGTTGTCCACATATACTAGTATAATTTTTTTTATGCCTGCTGTGGGCGGTGAAGAATATTCACGTCTAGACGCTACTTGTCCTGATAGTTGCTGGGCAGACTCTTGGGAGCAGCTGGGGGCCTTGCCACAGGTGCTCCATCTCTAAAAACCCAACAAATGCACTGTGCGAGTCAACTTGGCGTAGGTCCAGTTGGAAATTTTAACTGTTTTAGAAGCACACCACCTCGAGCATGGGCTCTGTGCCCTGTGTGCACGCAGCCAGGGTTGCATTGTGTGGCTCTAGTGATTCCTCACAGCTCTCTACTCCTGTTAGCAAGTTTGGCTCTGCATGGCCTGGGTTCTCTTCCTACCCGAGTGCCGTCAGTGGAGCTGTTAGTTGTTTTGTACAAATCTAAAGGCGGTGGGTTTAGACTGTGTAAATGCTGATTAGGGCTGTGCAAAGCTTCAGTCCCTGATTCGATTCAGTAGAGATTTGGCCCGATTCGGTGGCTGAATCTCCGAATCGAATCGAAAGACCCTTTTTAATCTCTCCGAATCGGAGATTCGGCAGTTCGGACATAGACGTAGCTTTCAATGTTTTTTCTACGTATCTCTAGGTAGCAGGTGACTCGTGAGTGCTGTGATGCTGGGACGCATGGAGTGTCCCACAGAAGCACGGGTGGGTCCCCAGCGCACTCGGCAGCGGGCCTGGAAGTGGACCACAAGCACTTCTGGTCTGCTGGGGAGTGCACAGGGGCAGCCCCCTGGCTCCGTGATTGGTACCTCCTAGCTCTGGGGGGTACCCTGGGTCCCCCCACAGCCGATCACCAAGTCATGGTGGTGCAGGGGGGCCCCTGCACGCTCCCCAGCAGACCTGGAAGTGGACCAGAACTAGTTCTGGTCCACTTCCAGGTTCACTGCTGAGCATGCAGGGTGCCCCCCACGCTCCTGGGAGATGCTCCATCCGCCCCAGCATCACAGTGATCACAAGCCGCGCTGGTACCTCGAGGGATGTAGAAAAAACATTTGAAGCTGTATCTGTGTCCGAATCGCTGATTCTCTGACTGCATTGAATCTTCAGATTTGGATTTGGGCGAATTGAATCGGGGGCAGTGATCCAAATCAACGAATTGAATCTGTCCCTGAACCGGGCTGAATCTGAATCGAATAGGGCCTGCTTCGCACACCCCTACTGCTTATGGCAAGAGGTCTTGGGAAGGGAAGAGTCTGGCTTGCTTTCTTCAGACCCTGGAACCTATCGGGGGAAAATGTCTTGTTAACTGAGCCTGTGTAGCACGTGAAATGCTCTGCTTGATGGTGCTAGGGCTTCGTGAGCTGTGGGTGGGCAAGTGTGGGGGCTCTGGTGAGTCGGCGGCATTCATTTCCTTGGCGCATGCTCTCGTGAAAAATGCAGCATTCAGCTCCCATTTTTAAACGAACAAGCCTGGATTATCCTGTTGTCAAAAGAGGATTTCTGATGTAAAAAATGTAAATCTGTTACCATAGGAACATAATCTACAGCTACTTTTGTAATATGCTTAGGTGATAGCCCAGTGAAACCAGAAGCTGAAGTCCCCTGGTAATTGGACCCACATGGCAACTGTACCCATTCCTAATGCACAGCCTTTCTGTATGTTAAACACTTACAAATACTTAAATGCCCTGCTGGAAGGGAAGCACAGAGTATGTTACAGTAGTGCAAGAGCTATTGCTGTCATAAGACCACTTATGTTCAGTTGTTTCCGACTTATAGCTATGAGATTAATGTAAAAATATCTACTTGATATTAGCTCAATTCATGATGGTGCAAAACACTGAATTCATGACTATCAATTAAGTTACTGCCGTAAGCAGATATTTAGAGTTCTCCCTGCATGTAAAATTGATAGCTGTACAGGCAAACACGTTTAGTGCCTTGTTAGCGAAATACAGAGGGATAGATCTGATTTTGAGAGGCATCAAGATCATATACCTGCTGCGGTTCTTTGTATCCCTTTGATTGCCAAGTTCTCCAGTTGGCTCTGACAGCCAGCCTTTTGTTGACTGAAAAGGCTTTTTATATTCAGTGACTGACTTCAGAATAAGGGGTGCACATGTTACAAGCCTCGCAGTTGGATTATAACTGAATGGACCAAAAAATCTCTTTAGTAGCTAGCATCAAATCTTGGAACAAGGGGACAATAGATAATAAGCAGGGGGTGGGGAGAGCATGTTTGTATTTAAATGCTTCCATGATTTTTTATAGAGAAATTATGGCAGGAAGCCTTGTTGTGCTCCTTGAGGCTCGCGAAACCATTAGCATTAGCCTGAGTTCTCGGAGGGTGAACCACAGCGACGTCCGCAGTCTGGGGAAGGTGGCATTGCTGCCACCCTGTAGACTTCTGCTGCCTGTGGTGAGCCTGCAAGGGGCCTTGTGATGCTTGGAGTCGGGGGTAAGCAGGACCTCTCCGGGCTTTTAAATTATAATGGCTTTGTTTTTGTTTTCTAGGGTTACTGGCATGCACTTAAAGCCATATCTCAAGTTACAGAAGAGAGAAAGATCTCTAGAAATAAGCCAAGACTCCCTGAGAGCCCCACACATGAACCATCAGAGGTCGCCACAAGAGAAGTATACAAACAGTTGCACCAAACTGAGCATTTTGCCGAAACCTTCCAGTGTGACACCATCTCGGAAGCTTTTGGGAATTCTTTACCCTAATACTATGTGCAATACAAGCGGGAAACCTCCAGCTGAAGGCCCGAGCCCTCGAGAGAAAAAGAGCGCCCTGTCTGCAACCATCCATCAGGGGGATGAAGGGGAGGGACCACTGGATGTTTGGGCTGTGGTGAAGCCTGGGAATACCAAGGAGAAAATTGCTTTCTTTGCAGCCCAGCAATGTAGCAATAATCGGTTAGGCTCAATGAAAATTAAAAGCACCTGGGATATTGATGGCAGAGCAGCCAAACGGAGGAAAAAATCAATCGACCTTAAGAAAGCAAAGATTCAGTTGGAAAGGATGAGAGAGGCTAACACCAGGTGCCCTCAGCCTGAGCCTTTTGCATGTGGCATTGAGCATTGTTCTGTGCATTATGTGAATGAGAACGGTGATGGGATAGTTCCAGGTCGATCTCTATCTGTAATAGAGATGGTGGCTTTTCTGGAACAAAGGGCAAATGCTTTGCTAGTGGACTGCACCAAAAACTGTACAAACGCCACTTCAACCAGGCTGACTGGTCAACCCAAAGGCGCTCCACCTGCCTCAGACCCCTTCTCTGCTGTCGGGACCTGCGAGGAACATCCCGAGAGGGAAGCTTGTGGGACCGGTGAGCAGCAGAATGAGCCCGTGCGGGTGCTGGACATGGTCGCGAAGCTGGAATCGGAGTGCCTGAGACGCCAGAGCGAGCGCGAAGCGGGGAGTCTGTCTAGAAACAACAGTTTCCGGAGGAACGTGGGGCGGGTGTTACTGGCAACCAGCACGCCGGCCGAGAGCGAAACAGCGAAGGCATCTTCTGAAGCCCTTGATCAGGAGGTAAGTTTAGAGGATCCTGTGACGGCGGAGGATGTTGGGCAGAGAACAAAGTGTGGCCCTTTGGTTGACAGCGAGTTATGGGAAGTCGCTGCTTCTGAACCACAGTCCTTGCCGGTGCTGGTGGATGCTCGTGCGGTGAACACAGACTTTGAGCTGGCTCAAGACCCCTCAGCAGCAGCAAGCAGCAGGTACAGCTCTGAGAGGCTGAGGGAACCTCTCATCTCTCCCCCTTCGGCACGCCCAAAAGCTGCTGGGCTGCCGCCACCTTCCTTGCAGGGCAAGAGTGTTCTCAATTGTACATCTGAGCCTGTAACAACTGCTAACCCACGTTCTCCTCCTGTGAGGAAGGAGTCCTTATGCATCAGCATATCTGCCACCAAAAGCGAGAAGGGATGCAGGAAAGATCAGCTGTTTCATTTAAGCTCTGGTGGGGAAGATTCGCTACCAGGGAGGCTCTTCTTTCCTCAGCCTGCTCGACAAACCAATCGGGAGCATAAACAGTTGGGGAAAGGTGCTAATGAAAACCCACAAGCAGCAGCCCAGCGGGAGGATGCTTCTGAGGATAACAAAGTGTGTGTGATGAACAGCGTTTCTACAGAGCCATTTACCCTCCCAGTATCTCTCCCAGAAAGTGCTTTGCAGGTACTTGACCCTTCCTGTTTAAAAAAGCAGGTGTCTCATGACTTTTTGGAGACTCGGTTTAAAATTCAGCAGCTGTTGGAGCCTCAGCAGTACATGGCCTTCTTGCCCCACCACATCATGGTCAAAATCTTTGGATTGCTTCCCACTAGGAGTCTGGTGGCCCTTAAATGTACTTGTTATTACTTCAAATTTATCATTGAATACTACAATATAAGGCCAGCAGATTCCCGCTGGGTCCGTGATCCCCGCTACAGAGAAGATCCCTGCAAGCAGTGCAAAAAGACATATGTGAAAGGGGATGTGTCACTGTGCCGATGGCATCCTAAGCCATACTGTCAGGCTTTGCCATATGGGCCAGGGTATTGGATGTGCTGTCACAGGTCTCAGAAGGGCATCCCCGGATGCAAATTAGGTCTTCATGACAATCGTTGGGTTCCTGCCTGCCATAGCTTTAACCGCGCTATTCACAAGAAATCCAGAGGAGCAGAATCAGAAGAAGAGTATTAGTGCACATACACTTTCTTGTGAGATGTTATCCTTGGTAGGAGGACATTCTTATGCCTTGTGCTGTTTACAGTGTATATAATTGTCGTGGTTTTTTTCCCCACAGGGCTATGAAACTGCACATACTTAAACACGAGAGCCTTTACCTTTTAGACTTAAAGATTAGCTTTTAGCCCCATCCATGTAAATAACACTATAAAAACTAATTGTACATATAGAGTCTACAGCTGGCTGAACAACTTTAATCACTACAATGCAGCTATGATAGTGTTGCGGCTACAGTTGTGTGTGTTTTTAAGTGTCTTGTTCCAAAATCTGTATATCCTGTATAATATATGAATGTTTCTGGGAAGAAACTCTAAATAGGTAAAGATCAACTTGTTTAAAGGATCGTCAAATGATTTAACTGGATAACCTTTAAAATTTAGGCTAGAACAGATATGTCATAGTAGTGTGGCAGTGGACAAAAAGAGAGGAATATTATTGTATAGTCAGAATATAAAAAGGTTCTTGTCTACCTTACCCTAGTTGTCTGGTTTTTGGTTTGTTTGTTTGTTTTTTTCCTTTTTTTTTTTTTTTTTTCCTTTCTTTTAATAAAATGTGCATTCTGGATCTGCCTTATCTGACTTCCTCTCCGTGTGACACTGCCCTGAAATCAAGTGAGGTAAAACCTAGGGGCAGCAGCTTAAGCTGTGGTGTAGCGAACAAGAACTTCTACTTTCAGGACATGGATGGGAAGGGGCTACCTGGGCCACTGAGTCTAGCCCTTAATGCAGGTAACTAACTCTTATCCAGAGTCTTAAAATGTGCCCACTCCACACCGGTACTTCAAGAGCAGAAAACCAGGACAAAATCTGAGGAGATGAGACTGTAGCAGAGAAATGAACAGTTTTAACTCTCGTGCAAAGGACTCCAGGAAGAGGACCACGTCCACCCTATGGAGGAAACCCCTGCATTTCTTTACCTGAAGAAGAATTCCTGATTTGGAGCTTGAGTTTGACGCTGGACAGGAGGGCCAGACCCTGGAGCCAGGTGCCTGTGAGGTTTTTAAGCCCTGGCAGAAACTCCAGACCCTGCCAATCAATTTTCAGTCTTTGCTGTAAGAATTTGACTTTTGCATTTAAAAATAAATAGCAAATGACTCTTATGAAATTGCTTGTCATGGGCATCAGGGGAACATTTGAGCTTGTGCTCTTCTCCTGTACTAATTTGCTGCTTGATGCTATGGCATAAGCTTGGAGCACCAGCTGCAGGTCTCGAAGGAAACTTTTAGGCTGTGTCTACAGCAAAGTTTGGATTGGATTATGCTTTTTTTTTTAAGAGGGGGGGGTACTACTAACCTCCCAAATTTTAACTCTTGCTTTAGTCCTCAACTGTGGCTTGGTTCTAGGTGGCAGCTGGCTACTCATGTACTTCTGTTTAAATCAGTGAGATGACTGCTGTCTATTGGACTAGGCCTGGTAGAATAAGTGCTGAGTAAGCCAGATTGTGGGACTGGCCTCACTAGCTATTTTGCTTGTGTGAAGTTCAGCTAGGTGCCCCTATGGGTACAGTTTGCTTTCAAGTGATAAGACCCAAGCTCTGGGGAAATCAGCCTTAACTTAAAAGAAATTCCAGGCAGTGCAAAGTCCAAGAGCAGGCATGTGGACCCTTCACAAAGGCTCTGGCCTTGGGTTCTGAGCTGTATATGCAGCTAAGTATCTCTGCAGTGCGGATACCACCTTGTGCTTCCTGTCTGCCCCCTATGGCAGCCTGAGGGATGTGCACCTCTGCCCAACTTCTTGAACAAATTCACCTTCTTCTGTCAAAACTGAACAACCAGTGCAAAGACCTCCAGCTACACAAGATGACTCCCTTCCAAATGGGAATGAAAACAGGATGCCTAGGAAAGCAGGGCTCAAAGGGACCCTCACATGATCATCTAGTCCAGCTCTCTGCTCAAGGCAGGATCATCCTCAACTATGCTGTCCCAACCAAGTGTCTGTCTAACCTGTACTTGAAAGTGTCCAAGCATGGAGAATCCACTTCTATACTTGACTATGCTCAGAGAAAGTTTCTCTTCATCTGCAGTCTAAATATCTCTGCTGCAGCTTCAGGCCATTGCTCCTAGCCCTGACTCCTGCAGCCACTGAGAAAACCTTATCTGCATCCCACGCCAGAGCCCCAGCCAGACAGGTGGCTTGAAAAAGCATTATCCAGTCTGGAAATACCAGCTGCACATGGCAGTCATTTTATTTGTAGATGCAAACATCAGTCATAACAAACTGTAAGAACAAGAGCTCCACATTTTGAGGATTAGTTAGGTAAAGACAATTTTTTTTCAGGCAAGGCAGAGAGGTGAACATCCAGCTTCCAGGAAATGAAAAGATACAAGGATGTGGGACCAGCCCAAGGGCATCAACACCTAATTCAGCAGGGCCAGAACAAACATTTAATGTCAAGTAAACCTGTGGAGTCTCCATCCCTGGCAATTTTCAAGAGCAGGTTAGAGAGATTCTGGGCTTGGAAGGTTTAATCGGCTCGAGCAGGGGGCTGGACTAAACGTGATCATCTGAGATCCCTTCCAGCCCTGCTTTCCTATGAGCCCAAGAGGAGCCATTAACCGTAACCCAGTGTGCTGTAGCGATGACCTACTCAGTGCAGGAGTAACAAGAAATCTAGTTTGGGCAGAGCCTCCTGTACATGCATCCCAGCCAATGCCAGAAATAAGGGAAGGCAGGAGGAGGCACATGGAGCCATGCCACTGTCCTGTTACTGTCATGACTGGAAAGGGTGAAGCAGCAGCCTGTGCTGAAAACTGGTAGTTTTTCTCTGCAGGCCTTGTAATAGTTTAGTCCTTGCACTTCACGCACTCCGGGCAAAGCAGCTCTCTCCCAGGAGACATCACAGCACGCCAAGACCATCAACATGTAAAGCTTGGCTTCATTTGAAATCATTGCATGCTCACTGCTGGCTTCAATCGGCATAGCCCTGGCCACAGTAGTAGCCAGGCTTTGGGGCAGCACTCCCCCTCGCTACTGCTGCAGTACAGAAACTTTGGGCTTTCAGACTTGGCTGTGCAAAGACAAGTGAAGTTAAAAACCTAGAGGGTGTGACTGAGCTGAACAAGCTGTACACAGCAGCTGCCAAAGGCAAGGGCAGGGGAAGAGCAGGCTCCCTTGATAATAGACTCCAGACTGTAACTGGGGCCCAGCCCTCCCACTCCTGAGGAACACGAGACTTTACCTAAACTACATGCTTGTTCCATGTCCTGTCCTCCGAAACCCCTGTGCTGAGAAGAGCAGTAAGGCAGCATACAGAGACCATTTGGATTTGCTTTGTGGAAGCCATTGGCATCAAAGCCTTAGGTTTAATGCAGAGCAGGGAGAAAATGCTCTCCTGCCCCCTCTTCGTGCCCGGGGTCACTGAGATAAGATGCTCTTGCTAGGCAGCAGCAAAGCAGGGCCCAGCTGAAATAGCAGCAGCAGGCACAGAGCAGAGGAAAATATTCTGTAACTAGATAAGGGCTGTTGAGGTCACTTCTGGAACAGGGTGTGCGATTCTGGCCAGCTTACTAGGACAAGGCAAGGGAGGGTGAACGAGGTGGGCTGCAGCTCCTAAGTTTGATCCAGTGGCATCCGATTCCTGAAGATTATTCAGCCACAAAAAGGAAAGAGCTCTGCCCCCTGAGCCCGAGTGGGCTTTGCAGAGCATCACTGCTCCACTCTGAGACAAGCCATGCACAGATGAGTAAACACCACTGCATCAGCCTTCCCCATGGTACTGTAGAGAAGATTGTGTCCATCTCTCACCTAAGCATCAGCTCTTAAAAAACAGCCTCTTGCTCCTGAAGTCACTGCCCATGGTACATAAAGGGGTAGAGCTAAGCTCCACAGCAAAATAAATGGCAAACTGCAGCAGAGATGCACTGTTCTCTTTCCTGGTCCATGCAGGGGTCTGTGTTGAGTGCCCAGTTCAAATCTAATCCTGTCCCTCCCTCTGGATCCAGGCCTTGCTGCTTATTCCATTAAGCATCTGGGGAAAAGCCCATTTCAGACAGGAGGCTGCTCTGAAGATTCAGGGCTGACCTGGTAAAAGAGGATGACTGAAAGCAATGGCTCCCCGCCCCTGCCAACAGGCTCTGGCTCAGCTGTAAAGATGGGAAGAGTGCCGTGATTTCTGATAGTCCCAAGGTTTTCTTCCAGCTGCCCTGAACCTTCTGCAGCTCCCAGAATATCCCCTGCCTCACTGCTGCAACCAAGCCTGTCCAAGCTGTCATTATGGCTCACCTCTACTACTGCAACGAACCGTCTCAGCACCCCCAGTTCCATATGAGATGGGGCTGCTACAAGCTATCGTGCCCGTGACATGATCATAGCCTACTGGCTCCTTGTCAGCTACTCCCTCAACCCTCCCCTTCCAACCTCTGTGCACCCAGTTGGCCTCTCATCCTCAGTGCTAGCCCCTTGCGTGTATGTAATACTGCTTAATCCCATTAAACTGGGCTCTTTGGCCTGCCTGGCAGGAACAGGTCTGTTTCACTAAGCTGTAGAAAAATCACCATGGTTCCTCTTCCCTGCGTACCATCTGTACTGCAACAGGGAGCTCCCTGGGGCCAGGACTGCGCACACCCCACGTGGGAGGACTGGGACCAGAGATCAGGAATTCCTGGCTTAGCTCTGTGACATGGTTTCTGATGAGACATCAGCCAACAGCAATGAAAGAACCTGGCTCAGTTAAAAGAACAAGGAGAGTCTCCCAGTCACAGATCAGTGTTGTAGAGGATGGAAAGAGGCCCGTCGGTCACAATCCAAAACGGGGTCAGCGGATCTTCAAAATTCATTTCCACTCCAGAAAGCTTCACACTTAAGAATCCACCATCTAAAACATGAGCTGTCTAAGACCAGGACCATTTCTTATTCTGTGCTGCTGTAGCTGCTGGTATAACACAGCCCTCATTTCAACTGGCACAAATAGAGTTAACTATTTGAGTTAGCTGTTGAGACAGACTGCTCATACTGCCAGGGAGCATCTACTTACAGTTACCTGATAATGGACATCAACATACATGCAGGATCCTCATGTGGCAGCATAAAAAATAATTTACCCAACAAATAATTTAGTTGACTGAAGTCAAACGCACACTAGAAACATTCACCGATACCGCAACATGGTAACGTGCAAGACATTTCCGTACCCGCAAAGGCCCCAGCAGTTGCACTGGAGCCAAGTGCTTTGGTTGGTGGCACTTGCTGCAATCATCCAAATGGTAAAAGCTATCACAGGAAAAAAAAACCCAACCCTCTTTTTTGTCCATGTAAGAGCGTCCAGCTAGGATGTCTTGCCAGTCAGCAATACCAGCAAACATTGTCTAAGGCAGATTTGGCACAATACAGAAGGTATTTCTGAATTTCCTCAACATGATTAAAATCCAAGTGCACAGGGAGAAATATTCAACACCAAAAACAACTGTAGAAAATTACTGTTAAAGATTTATTGCAGTAATACAATAAAATTTAGAAAAAAATGTGTTTATAGTTACATCTATTTTGGAAGTTGCAGAACAAGGCCTGGCTCTTTTTTGTTTTTGTTGGTTTTTCTGTTTTTTTTTATTTTTAAAGATGACTAATGATTCTAGGGTGCGTGGCTCGAGACACTTTAAGGGTACCCAATTTTCTGACGGTGGGTTTCTTAGCTCCGTCCACCCCTTCACGGTGTTCTAGATTGGGCACCCAAAAATCAAAGGTCACATTAGAAAACCACAGCCTAAATGGACAGAGCTTTATTCGTGCTACTGCAAATCATTTTGTAAACTCTCAGCTGGCTGCCTGCAAACAATATCCACAGCTCATGGACACGCTCTCCTCCCACTCACTCTGTCTGCAAAAACAATCTGTACAATGACTCCAGAAAATTGCACTCGAGTTTGGGACACACACGATTTCTCTCACAGCTACACTTGTGCAGAACATTCACACAAAAAACAAAACAAAAAAGAAAAAGAAAAACTCTGTAACAAAAGCATCCACTGAAAGAACAGTTTCCCATCTCATGACTGGCATCTTTTTGCACTTTGGGAGTGAAATTACATGGTTGAAAAATTGCTTTAAAATATGAAAAACATGATGCTTATGGAATTCTATGGCTTGAAGTGGGTTTTTTTTTGGTGAAATATCAGTTAAATTATATGTTACAAATCAAAGGACTCAGAGGGTTGGTTGGAAGTGACCTCAAGTTCATCTAGTCCAGGGGTATCCAACCTTTTTGAAAGTGGGGCCGGATCATGAACTTTTTATCACCCAGTGGGCCAGCGAGCCATATTCAAAGACCTCACAGGAAGCGGTATCACATCACCC